CACACGTATATATAAGGGTTGAAAAGTAAATTGCTGACTGAAAGTTGCTCGTTTATGTCTTTTTCTACACTGAAAATATTCACTTTTTGGCTTTAGTACGAATTTTTCTTCAGACCCCGATTACTCATATTATTATCAATTATTCCTAAAAGATTTTAATTGTTCAGTATTTGGCTGATAGGTGGTCCTTGCCTGGGGTCTTCTATTTTTCCGTGTGGGAGAGTCTGCCTTTATAATTATGCTAGCATTAAGACAAGGAGCTGCCTTATGTTTGTCACATGTACCTCGTTAGGCTGACTTCCCATGTGAGGATAACTGCTGGAGAATTAGATTTTAGAATATAATCTTTTAGTGTCCAGAACAGTAGCAAAGTAAAATGTTCTTGTCTTTCTTACCCATGTAGTGCTGACGCTTGGCATAGGCCAAGACTGCGAGAGTGCGGATGGCTATGGGAATGCTATATCGTGGGTTCTGCTCTGTTGATAAGCCACTTCTATTAGATATGGGGATGGGCCACTGGAGGATGACAAGCACATGATTTCAGTTGGCTGTCATGATTGTCGTACAACTCCGCGTCACTAGATTCGTACAACTTGTTGTCAACATACTTGTCTCTGAACTCTCTTATCCTGTTGGGGATACTAGCAATAAGGAGACGAGGTAGAAATCTCATTCTAGGTGAAGTATCAAAGGCTTTTTGCGCTGCATGGTATAAACGATCTCGATTAAAAAGCGAACCTTTTTTGCAATCGAAGGCGATTACCTTGGAAACAGCGTCAGCATGGATGTTCCAGTAAAGCCAATCCGCCGTCGTCTTCTGGTGGAATTGACTTTCGAATCTCTTTACAACACTTTCATTCGAAATGGAAGTAAGCTCAACAAATGGTACTTCGGGGAGCACTTTCATAAGCTAGGACCCATAAAAGTCATTTTTATAATGTCTTTGTTTCCATTTTTGAGTCCGGGACCGTTAATAGAAGAGAATAATCTGGGCTAAATGCGAGCAGATTGTGCACTATATACACAACTTGATAACGAATAAGCCAGTTGAAAGCTTCCTTGTCACGCATCCTGCCTAAAAAGTTTATCCACAACCGTGTGCTCTGCCATAACTTCAGAATATGGCAGTGCCATCGTATTGTGATTCCCATTGCGATACTGATTCACTTCTCGC